ACTTGGCCCTCCCGTGTGAGGTAGGCAGCAGAACCACTGAGCTAAATCCCTGGCCTTGGCTCCTTTTTTTGAGCTCACACTAGCTTTGAACTCACAGTGATCCTCCTGCCTCTGCCTCCCAAGCGCTAGGATTACAGGCATGCACCATGGCTGGCTCCTTCTTGACATTCAGGCCACTTATTCAGAGAGGCCTTCTCTCTAGATTATACCCCTTTGCTACCCTTCATCATAACACCTTTTTTTATTTCCATCTTCATCTGATTATTTATATACTCTCTGTCTCCCTCAATTAGGCTGTGAGGGCAAGAACTCCAGTATTGATAAAACAGTGCCTCATACTCAAAGATCTTCAAAAAGTATACATTAAAGGAATGAAAAAGAAAAGTATTATTTCTACTGCTTAGATGAAGAAAATGAGGCTTAGAAAAATCAAGTAAATTAACCATGGTCCCCACCTAGGAGGAAGTAGGAGAGTCTGGACTCAAGCCACTCCCTTATACTTATGTCCCTGGATTCCAAATCACTGCACTACTCCACCCCACTCATGCTTTCTTCCTCCGCACCTTGGTGCTCAGTTTCTGGAGACTGGTCCGAGAGTGGAAGATCCCATGGTCGCTTCGATTCAGCCTGTGCAGGTGAGGGAAAAGAACTGGTGTCAGGCCCAGCGCTGCTGTTTTGGCCCCACCCCTCGCCTCCCTATGTCCCCAGCTCAGGCATCCTAACCTCCCATGAGCCCACCTGGCCTGGACATCAGCTGCTTTCTCCTGTGCCAAGGCCCACACACGCTCCCGCTGCCCGTACAGCTTCCGACTTTGGCTCAGCTCCCGGACAGACTGCAGCACCTCTGCCTGTGCCTTCTGGAGGCTCTCTGTTCCCTGGTGGCATGAACACACAGAGTCCTGACCCAGGCTACCTCCAGCCCTCAAACAGCTCTTCCTTCACCCCGTACACTGATCCATACCTTTCTAAGCACCTGCTCCTTGGCAGTCCTCCCCGTGCCCCCTGCTAGGTCACGGAATCGGTCAGACACCTGGAGCCGAGTTTGGCCTCCTGCCATGGTGGCATCCAGCAGGCAGCGCCAGGCAGCAAACACTGTCCTGTCCCTCTCCAGAGAAGGTCTGTGTTGAAGAGGGGCGCACTCCGCAGCTTCATGAGATGCCCTCAACACCATGGGAGACAGAGTGCTTTCCTTCCCCCATCGTCTGGGAGCCCATCAATCGATCGGCCCATTAGCTCAGCCACAGGATCACTGATGCCCTCTGCCCCCACCCACAGTGTCCTTGCTGGGTCAGCTCCTTTCCTGCTGCTGTGTCAGCTCTAACTGCAGCTCACATGCCCCCTCACTAGGTCTTCATCCCTACAGGTCTCAGGGGCTGAGCTCCCCATCACTTTCGGGGCCGTGTGGCCCTCTGCCTCCGTAAGACCCACCTGCTGTCCATCTCCCCGCTCCGCTGCCCTTCCCTCTTCAGAAATGGCCCAGCCAGCTTCTGGAGTGCCTGGAGAGAAAGCCATAGCAGGCTCAGTTCCCTTTCTAAGACCCGCCTCAACTGGGAGAACACAGGACCAGAGTATACCATTCTTTGGATGTAGAAGATGTACTATTTGTTTTGCTAAATGCACTTCATTCATTACAGTATTTAATCCTTACGACAACACTACATAAAAGAAAAATATTATTGTTGTCCTTGTTTTGACAGAGGGTCTCACTCTGTAGTTCAGGCTGGCCTTGAACTCACTGTGTAGCCCAGGCTGGCCTGTAACTTGTGGCAATCCTTCTGCCTCAGCCTCCCAAGTACTGGGATTACAGGCATGCACTACCACGCCCAGAAAGTCAGGTATTATAATCATTCCCATTTCACAGAAAAAAGGTGAGGCCAAGAAATGTTAAGTAAAGTGTTCAAACTCACCCAGCTTTTAAACAGCACAATATAAAGATTTGACACAAGTCAACCTGACTCCAGGCATTTGTTACTGACCACAATAAAGTAAAGGGTACAGGAGGATGGAACAAGAAGGAAGCTCCAGAGAAGAGTTCCCTACCTGTCCATACTCCCGTTCAATGGCTGCCCTCTGTTTGCTGTAGGATCTGTGGAGATTGTCAAGTGAGGTGGAGATTATTCGTAGTTGATCATTTTATCCCAACCTCAATCCTCTCTTCCACCTGGGCAGGAGGAAGAGGGGAGCCAGTCCGGAGTGTGGCTACACTCAGAGGGAATGGGACTGAAGAGACAGTCCTTGAGATCACCACAGGCAGCTGCAGCACAAGACAGCCTCACCTCATTGCTCAGAGCCCCAGCAGGATCCTCCCCACCCCTGGAGGACCATCTGTGGGCTTGGCTGTGAGGACTGATGGGGGCCCAGGTACGGTGTCCGCCAGCCTTCCAGTAGGTCTAGAAGAGGGAGGGGATTCTGCCCTAAACTCAACTGTGGGGGCGGGAGTGTGGTGTGGAGTCAAGGGTTTGAGGGCAATCCCCGTGTTTACATGTGTGCATTTCCAGTATCTGGAGAGGTAGGCCTAAGGTGAGGGCTGTGAATGCTAAGTTGGAGGGCTCTTTGCCTGGGCACACCCCCTCCCGACCCTGGCAGACTGAGGTTGGGGCAGGAAAGGCTCGCGGTACAGCAAAGTCTGGGGTACGTGAAGGTGAGAGGTCAGGGGCTACCTGATATCCTCCAGCAGATCCGCCTCCCTCTGCTGCCGAGTCTGAAGGATGCTGAGCTGCTCCAGGAAGCGAAGCTTCACCTCCTGGGCCGGCTTTACCTAAGGGATTCAGGGGAGGATGAAGCCCCCAAGAGTGGGAACCTAAAAACATTGGGCTCAAGGAGTGGTGAGGGGGCGGGGCCGAGGAGGGCTGAGCTGTACGCTCGGTTCAGCGTTAGGCTCTGACCCCTTCCCGACCCCGCTTTCTCTCCCCGGGTCGGTGCCCCTGGGTTCCCTCCACTCCCCCGGTCCCACAGGAGTCTCCATTCTCGAGCGAATCTCACTTTTCGGGGCGGCGGCTGCATCTCGGATCCGGCTCAGGCTGCCAGCGACTCGACTCCGGAACTCGAGAAGGCCCGGCCCACAGCAGAGCCCCGC